AAAACAGTCAGCTAATCTTTGACAGGGGTGCTAGGAACACACAATAAGGAAAAGACAGTATCTTCAACAAATAGTATTGGAAAAACTGGATATCCACAAGAAAAAAAAAGAACCCCCATCTTATATTATATGCCAAAAGATTAAAGATTTAATGTAATACTTGGAACTACAAAATTTGTATAAAGAAACTTAGGAGAAATTCTTGACATTGGAAATTTTTTTGTTTGTTCTGCTTTGTTTTTGCTTTTTTGTTTTTTTTTTTAAATTTTTTGTTTTCTTTTGTTGTTTGTTTAGATCTAACATGAAAAGCACAGGGAACAAATCAAAACTAGATACATCAAATTTGTTTCTGCACAGGAAAGGAAGCATTCAGTAAAATGAAAAGACAACCTATGAGTTGGGAGAAAATATTTGCCTCATGTATTTAATAAAGGATTAATACCCAAAATATAAAGGGAACTCCTACAACTCAATAGTAAAAAACAAAAAACCCATTTAAAAAATGGGCAAAAGAGCTGAATAGACATGTCTCCAAAGAAGACATACAAATGGGTAAGTGGTACATGAAAAGGTGCTCTGCATCAGTAATTGTCAGGGAAATAGAATGAGATAGTACTTCATACTCGTCAGGATGGTTATTTTTTAAAAAAGCAAAATAAAATCAATTTGGTGAGAATATAGAGAAATGATACCCTTGAACAGTAAGGGTGTAAAATAGTACAGATGCAATAGAAAACTGTATAAGAATTCATAAAAAAATTAAAAATAGAACTACCTTTTGATCCAGTAATCCAATTTGTAAGTAAATATACCCAAAATAATTGAAATCAGGATCTTGAAGAGATAATCAGCATTTCTTGTTCATTGTAGCATTCATTACTCACAAAAACTAAGATATGGAAATGACCTAAATGTCTGTCCATCAACAGATGAATGACTATCAAAAATGTGGCATACACATGAAATGTAATATTTTCAGCCTTAAAAAGAAGGAAATCCTGCCATAAGTGATGATATGGATGAACCTGGAAGACATTAAGTTAAGTGAAGTAAGCCATTCACTGAAGTACAAATACTGCATAATCTCACTTTTATGGAGTATCTAAATAGTCAAACTTGGAGCATCTAGGTGGCTCAGTAGGTTGAGTGACAGACTCTAGACTTCACCTCAGGTCATGATCTCAGGGTCATGAGGTCGAGCCCTGCAATGGCTCTGTGATGAGTCTGGAGCCTGCTTAAGATTCTCTCTCTCTCAAAAAAAATTAACAGTCCAACTTAAAGAAGCAAAAGTAGCATGGGGAATGGCAAAATGGAGATGTTATTCAATGGGTATAAAGTTTCAGTTATGCAATGTGAATAAATTCTAGAGATCTGCTGTACAGATTTATAGTTGACAATACTGTAGTTAATACTATTGTTAATAATGCTATATTGTAACAATACTGTATTGTCTTATGGTTAAAGATACTGTATTAGTTAGCAAAACTGTATTATACATTGAAAAATATGTTAATAGAGTAGATCTCAAGTGTTCTTGCTGCAAAAAGGGAAGTAGGAGCAAATGTCTAGATGTGATCGATTTGCTTATTCCCTTGATTGTGCTGATATTTTCATGGCTAAGTGTGTATCTTAAGATCTATCAAACTGTATACATTAAATATATGTCATTTTCTTGTATTTCAATTTTACCTCATTAAAGCTGTTTAAAAAACACACAAGGAATTACTATAATTTTCACATACCATGAAGCCAGGCAAACTGAGTGCATAAACATTTTTATTTGATTAAAAAGAATACCCAAAGAATGAGGTAGTTTGTTTTTAATTTAACATTAATTTGAAAGGGGATAAAAAACTACTTTTGGTTTAGATGATGGCTGCGGAAAACATTTCCCACATACATAATTTTCTTAGTAATTAGATGAATACGGATTATTATGTACCTTATATCTATCCATCAACATGAACTTTTAATTTTCATTGTAAAGCCTGGAAGGAAAATTGTAGCAGATGGTAATAAGCTATTGATGATATCAGGATACAATCTAGAATTCATATCTTTAAGTTAAGAACATATGAATCATTTATTTTTTTCATTCAGGTAACTAACATTTATTTATTTATTAATGTTTATTTATTTTTGAGAGACAGAATGTGATCGGGGTTTGTTTTGGTTACTGGTGGGGTTGTTTTTTCAGTTGGTATTTTCTATGAAATATTGCCACCGTTTCCACAAGGATACAATATTTTTAATAAATGTGCTGCTGCCTTCAGTTGATTGGTCCACAGGAGGGTAGATAAACCAGATGAGTTCGAGCAGTTTCTCATTTAGGATTATTATTCTTGGCCTGGTCCAAGAGTATAAGGTAAAGCTTTTTCCAGCAATTAAATTTATGAGATGAGAAATTCAAAAGCCATCAGAGGACTCATTTTGTATTATGAGAAGAAAGGCTGAGAGAGTAAAAATAATGAAGTAGATTCAAAGAGAAATACAGAGAGGAAGAAACGGAGAGAAGCTCAATCTTGACCTTGTTCAAGTTCTTGGTTCCAGTTGTTCTGAAGATTAGCTCTCCTCAAATTTCAGCTATGGTCTCATTCACTACTGTTTATATTTAATACAATATCCTTCAATGCATTGAAGTCTATATAGATTGGATTCCTACTAGTTAGGAATAAAAACTCTAGTTAACATTGTTCTTAACATTTCTCTCATATTTATAATGAAAAAAAATCCTGTTGGGATGGATATAAATACTTTTTATTTATTTAAAAATATGATTCTAAATGTGGTAGACCCAACAAATTAACATCAGAAATCTTCCTGTGTTCTATATAGGATTAATTGTCTTGCAGTTGGATTTATATAGAATGAACTGCATGTAATTCATCCTGTATAAATAGGACATCTCATTAGGACAAACATTTGGACAGATATGTCATTCAGCAGAACATATATAAAATCAAACAAATTGAAGGAAGGAATTTCAACTAGTGTGATAGCCAGAATAAGGGTACACCTAAACATGTCCATGTCCTAATCCCTGGAATCTCTGAGCGTGAAGATTGCATTGTTGAAAGAAAATGAAGCTGGCACACAGAACTAAGATTGCTAATTATCTGACCTTCAGATAAGGAGATTCTCCTGGATTATCCAAATAGGCCCAAAGTAATCAAAAAGGCCCTTAAAAGTAAAAGTAGTCAGGAGAGGATTATGGGGAGATGTGGCCATGGAAGAAAATCACAGAAAGCTTCACCCTTGCAGGCATTCGAGTTGGAGGAAGGGGGCCTGTAGAAGTTGGAAAAGACAAGGAAACAGATTCTTCCCCAGAATCTCCCAAAAGGAACACAGCCTACCAACACTGACTTTAGGTCAATGAGACCTGACCCACAGAAATTTGTGATGTTTTAAGCCATTATTTTAGTGGCAATTTATAATGGCAGTTATAGAAAACTAATACAAACCAAGTAGTTCCAAATTCATATAGAAAAAATTGAGTAATTACACCCATAGGAAGTAAATCTTTTTTCTAATGCTCAGTGATAAAAAATCATCTTCTGGTACCTTTTAAGTAATAAAAATTATAAATATTTTGGGGCACCTGGGTGGCTCAGTCAGTTAAGTGTCCAACTTTGGATTAGGTTGTGATCTCACAGTTCATGGGTTCGAGCCCCGTGTCTGGCTCTGTGCTGACAGGTAGCTCAGAGCCTGGAGTCTGTTTTAGATTCTGTATCTCCCTTTCTCTCAGACCCTCCCCTGTTCATGCTGTTTCTCTCTCTCTCTCAGAAATAAATAAAAAAACATTAAAATTTTTTTCAAAAAAATAATAAATATTTTCTACAGTATAATAAGACTACAGTGGTAATGGAGATAACTTTGAATACATCTCACAAAGATAGGTAAGGAAAGCCACCAAAGGAAAGGTATCTAAGCCCAGACTGGCAGACAGAGAATATCTCTGGGATAAGTGGTAGTGATATCCAAGCAGTGACATGAGGATGATAAAATCTTTGTCACATGGGTGGAGATAGGGTGTTGAAAGGACAAACTACCATGTGAAAAGCCTGGAAATTTAAATAAAGCATGATAGTCAAGAAATAAGATAAGTTCACACTAACAGGATCCAAAGTGGCAAAAGATGATGCTAATTTAAAGGCTGATTTTAAAAGAGACCTGTGTTTCTAATTCTTTCGAATCATTATTCCTTGTGACTTGAAAATTAATTACATATGGGTAAGGTAAATGTGAGGAAAAATTGTTAATTTCCTATCAGTACCAAATCACGAGGCTATCCAGTTTTCCTGACTCTGAGCAACTGTCATTCCTACTATCTGTATTTCCAGACAAATATGCACTACAGTCCTGTGACATTTTGTCTATTTTAAGAAACTGATGCCACCAAATTCATTTCTTTATAAACAGAATCAAAGCACATAATTACAATTTCAGAGATTTCCATCACATTAGCTATTCTGAACACTTACACTATCATTCTAGAAACACCAATTGCAACAGAAAAATAGTAACCCATTAAATTTGTAAGTCCCAAAATACCTGAAGCATCTGTCTTTTAAGATGAACTTAGAGGAGAAATTACCCAGAATATAGACTTGGTGACAATCTGTCATCAACAGTAACCCAAACACATTAAGTGTTTTTATATGTGCTTTTTAAGTGTCAGTAAAGATGACACATGCTGGGCATAGGATAGCAGCTGCCACCAGTGGAAACTGCCTTGTTTTATCTTTCCCTCTTTCATGGTTTACTTTTCACTGACCAGAAGATGTTACAGCCACAGACTTAAGAAACCGTTTAGAGAACGTCTCTGTATACTTTATAAACATTGATTTCATGGAGAATGCTTTGCAATATCCTGTGTGTCTTTTGTATTTTCAAACTGAGTCAATCTCATCTAAATATGTCTACCTAAGATAGTCATCTGAGGGCCAAAATGTGTTAGTTAATATCGAAACTGATATTTGAAATGGAAACTAAAAGGAAGGAACAATATAAATTTACTTTTACAAATTTGTCCATCATCCTTCTACAGGGGCCATCTTATCTCTGTATGGTTCAGATTTTAGTATGGGTGCTGCTGAAACGAGCACCAGAAAGTTTACTTTTAAGAGCACTAATCTTATGTTTCAGGCAAATAGAAATTTGGGGCAAACGGCACCATGTCAGTTGTAAGAAATCGAAAAAAATTGATGTGGCAAATATTGGACAATCTGACACCTGGACATGGTTTTTTCTTTAACAACATCTATTTTAGCTACAATAATTCTTCCTCTCATGTTTCCAGGACCCTCCCAGAGTCAATGACTTGGAAAATTGTGAAGAAGATAGGTTTTCTGGGTACCCGATGCGTTCTTATTTTCTTTTCCAAACCTCCCTTCTTCCCGGCCCTCGTCTCTAGAGAGTAGTATTTGTGTACTTGTTTGCTTTTTGTTTTTCCTTTAGAAAAATAAAAAAGAGAACAATTTATTCAATGATATATTTCTTCTTTTCTTCTAGTGTTTTCTTCAGCAAAATCTAACTAAGTTTAATTCTGGAGAATGAACTTTCTGTATTGGCCTATCTCTTTTTTTCAGGGAGCAGTTTTCCCTGTGAAAACAATTCTTTGGTGGACATAAGAATTCTTATTTTCTATTTCTTCAACTTTTTTCTTCTTGTGAGGAGAAGAGTGATGATTTCTAAACTCTTTACCTGTCAGACTGGAAACCAGAAGTCTATGATGTATTTCTTTTAAATATTTATTTATTTTTGGGAGAGTGCAAGTGGGGGAGGGGCAGAAAAAGGAGAGAGGGTGACAGAGGAACCAAAGAAGGTTCTGCACTGATACGCTGACAGCAGAGAGCCCAATGCGGGGCTCAAACTCATGAACCAGAAGATCAGGACTTGAGCCGAAGTTTGATGCTCAACCAACTGAGCCACCCAGGTGCCCCAACCTGTGATGTGTTTTTGATGTTAAAAATCACTACAGATCTCTGCTTGATGGTACTTTATGCATTTATTCAAATAGCCTAAGAAATGAGAATCAAGTACTGTGTATTAAACTACTGTATAATAATATATTATTTTCACAAAGGCCTCTTCAAGTTTTAAAGAAGAGTATATCATGTGAAAAGAACATACACTCAATGCATATGAATTTGGTCAACATTTTTAACCTCTTGGTTGCCTAATTCCCCTCTGCTTGGTGTTGTCCCCTTACTGAGTTGAAGTATGAATATGCTAGGTCTCTTCCAGTTATCAGCAATTCAGAATATTTCAAAAATCCACCTTTTTTGGTGTAAAATATAAAAATTTGGAAATATGGATTTATCTTGATGGATTTCATTAGAAGAACATGAACAGTCATCTGACAATATCATAGAATATAAACTACATACTGAATATCTTTTAAAATTAAAAATAGACATATCCTCTGATGTGGCAATTCTACCTTTAAGAATTGCTCTTACTAATGCATTAGCACATATATAAAAGATTAAGCATAAGAATATCTACAATGGTTGCAAACAGCCTCAATATTAATGTAAAAGTATTGGAAACAATCTAATACTTATTCACAACAGTCTTGCCAAGTAGTCCATGGTAAACATTATTGTCACAACAAAGAAATGGAAGTAACAGGAAACAGGTAAGTAATACCTAATTAGTAGTACCCTAGTTGCCTACTCTTAATCCAATACATCAAGTTATGTTCTCTAGAATTAAGTATTCACTTAGTTCTATTATTTTAGTTTAATGAAGATTTTCTTTTTTCTTTACTTGAATTTCTAAGTCTTTTATTATTCTTTCCCCTTTAATGTCCTCAAGTTATGGCTAATGCATCTAAGAATAAAAATATGGACTTTTTATTTTCATCAAACTTTCTCTGAGTACATCCTAACATTGTAGGAATATATAATTTCTGATTAATAGTGTGTATTAGTTTCCTTAGTTTTTTAGTATCACTTGTGCTTGTAATGTTTAAATTAACATTACTTCACACTTTGGAAAAGTAGCATTTTATTTGACATTTTCAAAGAGCAGACATAGTCCTTTGCTTACTAACCTTTAAAAAAATGATGATGTCATTTTGACTAGTGATGACATTTTGACTAATCATTTCAACAATGACCCTTTCCACTTTAATATACTCTTACCTTCAATGTGGACAAAAGTGACATATTCTTTGCATTTTTATAATACCTTTTTTCCTTATTTTTTACAATTATTTTTTGCATTGTGTCCCTCACCTGGCACTGTCTTTAATATTTGTTTAAGGAGAAACAATTTCTACCATAGAACATAACAATTAACATCTTTGAACAAAGTTACATGGCATCGAATGTTTATTTATGGTAAGACTTTTACATTACATTAAGTCAACAAATTATTTTTGTTAAATGATCATAAGATGAAGTAAAATGATAATACTCATGGGGATTTCCTGGGGATAGTGGAAACAGTCTATTTTTTATTTTCTTTTTTAAAAAATGCTTATTTATTTATCTTGAGAGAGACAGAGTGCTAGTAGGGGAGAGTTAGAAAAAAGAGAGAAAGAGAGAAAGGGGGAGAGAGAGAGAATTCCAAGCAGGCTCCATGTTGTCAGTGCAGAGCCTGACATGGGGCTTGATCTCAGGAACCATGAAATCATGACCTGAGCTGAAATCAAGAGTTAGATGCTTAACTGACTAAGCCACCCAGGTACCCCAATGAATTTTTCCCCATTCAAATTGATGTGAATTATAAGCTCAACTTTAAGCCACTTGAGGGGCGCCTGGGTGGCTCAGTTGGTTAAGCATATGACTTCAGTTCCAGTTATGATCTTGCAGTTCTTGAGTTCCAGTCCTGCCTTGGGCTCTGTGCTGACAACTCAGAGACTGGAGCCTGCTTCAAACTGTGTCTCCCTCTCTGGCCCTCCCCAGCTCTCACTCTGTCTTTCTCTCTCTCTCTCAAAAATAAATAAACATTTAAAAAAATTAAAGCTACTTGATAAAGTACTACTATCTTTCAAATGAATATTACAAATTAAATATTCCAAACCAAAAAGTTGAATGTAGTCCTATTCAGCAGACTCTTTACAACATCCATTTCCACTAAGTTAAAAGTCAATGTGATTTGGAAGTTCACAAGCAGATAATGTTAGGAATAATGATAATAGTAATATTAATATTAGCAATATCTCCAAAGAGACACAAGTTCAGTTTAGAACCTTGTAATGTCTCATCAGGTGGTAGTGTCTATTTTCCGTCTTCCCAAATATGGCTGGACATTTTAACTGTTCCAGTGAAATGAATGTGCAGAAAGGGATAATGCTGTGGGACCTCTAAGACGAAGACCAAAAGGGCTATAATGAAGTTTTTTCTCTCTCTTTGGCTCTCTCACTCCAGGCACTGAACCCATATCCCATGAGCTGAGGAAGCCCAGGGCATACTGAGAAATCACACATAAGTTTTCCAGCCAATTGTTCCAGAGAGGTCTCATTTGACAACCAGCTTCAAACATTAGACATGTCAGCCTTCAGATGATTTCAACTCCTAACCTTTAGACCACCTCGGTTCTGAGCAGATGTCAGGTTGATGCACAAAATAAAAGTTTGCTATTGTTTTAAGCCACTCAGTTTTGGGGTAATTGTTTATTCAGTCATAGTAGCACCAGGCATTCTTATTGTTTTTCTGCTCCTTCAGAATATAAATAAACCCCATAACAGCAAGAATGAAATCTGTCACATGTGCCCAGTGGCTGGCACATAGAATATATTAAGTAAAAATCAAGTGAATTAATGAATAGAATCTTGACTGAACCATCTTAATACTGAAAACTTTCAAGAATGTTGTGATGCATCTCAAAGTCCTTCTTGCCTCAAAATAAATATTTATACTAGAAAAAAAGTTTCTCTCTTTCTTTGTTTACTGTTACATACTGGATTTTTCTTAGAAGTCAGTTAAGTTGCTAGGAAACATCGATTAATAGCATTAATAATAGCCATAAAAGACTCCAAGTTAAGCCTTTCCTGTGTCTTTCCAAACCTTGGAACACATTGTTCTTGCTCAGGAAGCAAATTTTTCTCAGCCATTCATTTCATCAAACCCTCTTTAAACTTTTCTCTTCTTGAAAGCTGACACCAGTTAAATTTTCTCACTGACTGCTTTTTTATACGTTTGGTACTTTGGAAGTATATTCATTTTTTTTTACTGTGATTTGCAGAGGAGTGATTAATTTAGGCATTTTTCATGGATTTTCCATACTTTTCAAAATCTGAAGACATCAGGAATATGCAAAAGAATGAAGCCATAAGTCTCTGTTTTGCTGTTTCAATCACATATCATATTCCCCTGGCAAGGAGGCAAATCAGGCAACATTATTATTTTCTACAGATTTTATGTAGCATTTCAATATCTGTCCTCTACCCCAATGGTCACATCCTCTATTAAATGAGGGATGAGTGGATTCTACCATATTGATTGTTGTGTCAGCCAATACAGTTGTTTGCTTTTCCACTTTAACCTGCTCATGTAAGTGTTGTCCTTTGTTGGATTTTATCACTGTTCTTTCATTTCCTGTAATTTACCCTAACACCAGGCAGTCTCATATGGAAGACCTTTCTAAAGGTTAGGGAGTAGCAGAATGCAATTGCCACAGAGGCCTGTAAATAACTATAATCCAATGGCAGACATCACTCCTCCTAAACATGCATCAGCATTTCCCAGGGAAGGTGACTTTTCACTGCCTATTTTTTTCTCTTCAGACTTGGGTCCCTTGTCAGGTTGCTCAAGCCTCTCTTTTCCCTTTGCTAAGCCCCAGCCCACAGTCTAGTTATCCTGGGCATTTCCATTTTCCTTTTCCCAACCATGTGTCTAAACACTGTATCCTCATCTGAAAACTCACAAATTTTTATTATGGTTCTCTATGGAGTGAGACTAATTTCCTGGGTGGTTGGATACCTGCACAATGTCAAAAAAAAAAAAAACCAAACAAACCTTATAATGGGTTAAAACTGATGTCTTATAGAGGAAAGAAGAGGATGAGATTCTTTTCCTCCAGATAAATTATAATGATATCATCCATGAACTATGGAAATATATTCTGCTTCTTTTATCGCTCTTCCCATGCACTA